ACTAGACTCCTCCCGATTTCCTTATTTAACAAGCATATTATAAAACATAATACGGAAAAGGATCTAAAATACCCTCAAAGTATTGAAAATGATATAAAATTACCCTCCATCCACCTATTGGCTCTAAAATATCCTTCCCACCAACCTATTGGGTCCAAAATACCCTTGTCATCCACCTTTTGGTTCAAAATTGATTACTTATTTAACGGTTTTATATTTAAACTATTTAAATATTTTTTAAAATACGTGGCGCTCAACTATTTGTTATAATTTAACTTATTAGTATAATTTATAAATCAATCCACTACCCATCCATTACTAATTAAACCCTCCAAATTAATAAATTACTCACATTATTAATGCAACAATAGAAAAACTACTGCCAATTGATTGTTTTAAAAAATTTGAGACGAAAATATCTATAGAAGTAAATTATCATACATTCAAGTGTCTAAATAAAAATTACTGATAAACTTAAAAGTCTGACTATGTTCATCTTAATTATTCTTACGTCTCAATTATGTATGTTACTTCATAGGTAGCCTTTTTTCAAAATAATTAAAAGTTTTAAATAAATCATAAATATTTTATAAAATTATATTTTAAAAAAGTGCATGAATTAATTCGGGATGTATTACTTCTTTACCTTTAATCATAAATTTCTAATTCAATCTTGAAAGAGAATCAAATTGAAAGTGTCCTCCTAAATAAGCGGCTCAACATAAATTTAATTGGGGCTTCGATTCGGACTCGAATAATTTTGGATGTCATTTTCATTAATCTATAATTATTCGTGTTTTAGCAGTGTTTATGACAATTTTGATATTATAGTTGGCTTATTTATGGGGTGGGGTTTAGTTAGTAATGGGTGGGTAGTGGATTGGTTTATAAATAATACAAATAAATTAAAGTATAAGCAATAGTTGAACATCAAGTATTTTAAAAATATTTAAATAGTTTAAATTTAAAATCATTAAATAAGTGGTCAATTTTGAACTCAAACGTGGATGACAAGGGTATTTTAGAGCCAATAGGTGGATGAAAAGGGCATTTTGGAGCCAATAGGTGGATGAAGGGTAATTTTGTACCATTTTCAATACTTCAAGGGTATTTTAGACCCTTTTCCGAACATAATATTAGATTAGCTACTTATCGATTCAAATAAACATAGAAACAAATTCTTATCGAAAAGCATTCACTGCTCACTCCCTTTTTGTTATTTATTTTACTCACACAACTCAATCAACTGAATAACAATAATATGATCTGGACTAGTATAAAGATTTAAGAGTGATTACTAATTACCTGAAGAAAAATTCATTTTTTCCAACCACCGGAAGAAGACGTAATTCTCGCCCAACTCTTTTCTAATTTTTTTTCCTCGGCGGCTGCGTGAACTGCTTCTCTCCACTACAGCCATCAACATTGCCCTTATATTGTTTTTATTATTATTTATTTATTTATCTTTTCTATTATTATTAGCAACAAAATAATCTTTGGTTAAATATGAAAATAATTTCACCCATTCTTATAAGTCATAATTTATTTATAAAAATTATTTAAAATGATTAATATAAGAATAATGATTAAAGTTTATAAAACGACTAAGAGGGTCGTTATATTATCCACCACTAAAAATCATGTTCGCCCTCGAACATAAGGAAGAAGAAGGAAGAATAAACGACGTTACCAAAATCCTAAGGTATGATCTTCTAGAGTCGGTGTTCGTCTCTCTAAGTGGGCTCTTCCTTAAGACCATTCCATTCAAGATTAACTACTAAGAACTGATCCTTCCAATTAAACTTGAAAAAATTTACAAATCACGAGTGATTATCAACCTATAGACTAATCTATGAACCAAATCTAAAATGAAACCCTCTGGACCATAACTTAAACATCGTGACGATTCTTTTCTCATATAACCAAGAGAACATTCTGAATCAGTAGTGACTACAACAAGAAGTTAGTTTGAATTAACCACCTAACACTCATACTGTACAAATCATCACAATATTTTTTTTATCGCTTCCCTTAGCACAATCTTTCCACTAGCATAAGTTATATATATATATATATATATATATATATATATATATATATATATATATATAAATCTTTAGACATCGAGTATTCATTAAGGGATAATCAAACTTATCTAATCCAAGGAAAAACAAGAATAAAGTAAGCACCCAAAGACCGATATATTCTAGGATGCACAACTTTTAACAACACTGTTGTATAACTGTAGCTATTCACAAGAACTCTTCTATAAGTTATCATAGGCAAGGTCATGCATATATAAACAACAATAAACTTTTACTTTCCCAAACAACATCGAAATATACCATAACTGAAGTGACCAAGTCTTCACAAGGATGCCAGTCTACCATGAAGACAATCACATGATCGGTACACCCGATCCACCACTAGGAATTCATCCATAGATATGAAAACACGTGTAGGTATAGGTAGCGAATCACACTTCAAACTATATCCAAAACGTAGTTGATGGTCATATAAGAATACACAGAACCAGAGTCGAATAACACTAGATACTTCTTTGATAGTGTCCATGTTAAACATTTACATTCATATGACTCTATCTCTTTAATTATTATAGCTACCCACAATCAACTAGTCTGGTGCTTATTATAATCGTATACATACTTGATTTATAAAACCTCACATATTCTTATAGTACTCTACTGAAGTTAAAAAAAAAATTATACTAACAAACATCAAAATCACACCGGTCATTTGTCTTACTCTCAAACCATCACTAGTATCAAAGTCTTCCTAGCAAGCACATTGTAGCCTCCAAAATTTTTGAATTATGACTCCCTTTCTTTCTATTTAAGCATGCGTTGATAGATATGGGTACACACCCAAGGTTGATAACACTAATTTCGAATATGATATTAGTTCCTCCTCGACATAAAACTATTGAATTACGTTCAATGTAATATCCACACAATCTTTCACATGCAAAGTTTTAACTATCATTCAAACCATCATATATCTCGTGCCAAAACTTAGAGAAACTCTCAATCAATCCAATAATTCGGTATAATATAAGCTCATAACCTCCATTCACCATCAAATACATATATAACACATCATAACAGTCTATATCGTCCCACGACAAAGTAGTTTCAATCCCTTCAAATCCTCATTAATCATGTAAAATTGTAGGTTTACACCGTTGAACATCAATAAGTTACCTATTATGATTTGAACAATCTAACTTTACATAACCAAGTAGAATCCTTCACACGCAGTTGCTTGTCACCTGATCAAACTCAATCCTTATCAAAGTCGTTGATAACGCCTAGTAAGTCTGTACCGAATCAGTTCACATCTCATAGTAATATCTTAATTAAAAGGTTAAAATCCATATAACCTTAAATTCTGAACCAAGGGTCTATACGAAGGGTCTTACTCTTTTACCTTTCTTAAATTCTTCTCATAATGCAATTATTAAATATTTTAAATCGTTAATATATCAAACTTTTTTTTTGTCTCGCTTACTTGCTTACCTATCTTATCCTTTGACCAACTCATTATATTTTTACATTACCCTCTAACCAAAACATTGCATGAAACCTTCCTCAAGTATAACAATCAAAAGTAATCAAATTTACTACTCAAATTATTTTTAAATCCTTCCAAATGCTTCATACTCAATGTTATCGATTATTTCTTACTTTTCCAATTCATACCTTGACAAAACAGACTATCACAAATCTAAATTCACAATTAAAAGCTTGAATTTATTCCAAACATGTAACACAACCGTTTTATCTATCAACATTAACTCATATCTTGAAGATTTTTATGAATTCATGTATCTTAGCTTACATTGATCGCCTCTCCATCAATCATATCATATCCTTTGCCAAAACTTCAACTGTACTCATTACCAACTTATAAACATAAAAAAATACATATAATCACACTCGAGTTGAACATTTATATACACTCTTTTCTCAAGTTATCCAATAGTAATTTTTTTGATTTAAATCAATCAGTTGATCTGGTGACACTATATATTATCATAATCAGGGCAAAAAGATGAAATCACATATCTCTGAATTTAATTATCCACTCTTTCTGACATCTTTGACCCTTATAATCTGAGTAATATCCTTGTTCTCACCTCCTTCTAAAGGTTAAACTACATCCCACTAATTCATTCCATTCTGGCTCTAGCTCCTTTCAATTATATTCGAGTGACATCATAATTCCTCATAAAAATTACCATACAACCATGCTAGTCACAAACAGTAGTAAACCATAACTCAGACATTCGAAAGTCACCCTTATCATACAAAAGTCTTTTAACCAACAAAACTTATCATATAGTTGCAACCTAATCATCATCCATCACAAACTCTAGTTATCACTATGTATAGTCATCCCTTATCATTACCACAAAGTCAACCTTGTCATGACATGACATCTCAAACTCAACTATACCAATCGAATTCAACAGACTAACTTAACTTTATACACATTTTCTTTAAAAAAATTCAATTGTCTTCACCAAAGTATACTCGTTGGGATTTGCTTTACATATAAGATAGTCATTCCAATATTAATCCACTCAATTGGGGCTTATGATAAAATAACCACTGCTCATTTTGAATCCTAAGGATACACATCATAACCTACTCACACATTAATATTATACCAAAGATCCACCACTAAAAGCTTTCTTATAAATAATGCTTAACTCATTCGTTCGTAGTAACAAGCTAGTTGGTTTTCAAATATGAATGTAACATAAAATCTTATTATATGAGTATATGATAAAATTGATAGTTCCTTAAGTAGTTATTGTTCACACTTAACATCGAATTATCAATTTTTATATAACACTAGTACCACATCACGAAATTTCATTAGATCCATCACTAAAACACATCATACCTCCTGGAAAGATTGTACTCAAATCTCACATATTTCTATAAGTTGAGTGGTTGTAGTACATTACCAAATCCATTTGATCTCTAATCCAATCGTTATGCACTATTTCATAGATTAGTTCGATAATAGAAGTAACACGCTCCATAACACTAACCAAGTAAACATCTATACTAAGTAGTCATACCATCATTTTCTTAAATATACAAAACCTATAAAATCGTAATAGTTCTAACCTCCATTGGTCCATCAGTATTCCTATCATCTTCTAAGCAACCCATTAATGGTATGACAACTATATCAATTGTATTACGCTATTTATTATCTAGTCAATTCTTCAAACATTTAAATTCTAATTGTCGAACCACTCCATATTTTGCTTATACAAGATAAGTACTATATTTATTATTATTATTTTACAATGATAACTAACCTTACTCAACTCTTTCAAATATGATCACACATTCGTTTCATAAGTATAGCATTTCCACCTTAATACCAAATCTAACATCAAACCAATACACGACATGCCAATGATTCACAAAAGGAACTACGCACGAGTCATCACATAAATGAGAGCGAATGGAGTGAAGCGCTAAGAATCAAAATGGGACCAAGTACGCACAATAGAGATCCAAGAAATAAAGATATTTCCTAAAAGTCACTACAGCCTCTCTAAGATAGGTACAGACGTCTCCGTACCGATCATCGAGACTCTATTTAGACTCGACTTGTACACACGTGAGACCTATGAACCTGGGGCTCTGATATCATTTTGTCACGATCCAAAAATAGACGTGATGGCACTTGTCTTATCCCACCAAGACAAGTCAGCCTAAAACTCAACTTATTACAATAAAATGCGGAAAATTTACTATCGACTTATATTATAACCCAAAACCTGGTTGTCACGTGTACAAGCCTCTAAAGTATTACAACTGATTCAAAAGAAAACTCAAGTCTCAAATGAACTTGTTTCTAGAATAAAACAAGAACATAATTACGGAGAAGAAAGTCTGCTGCGATGGAAACAGCTACCTAA